GTTCTTCTCCAAGCAATATTTCTCTACCTCCGGGATAAAGTGGTGGAAAAACCAGTCCTGGAAAACGGCCTGTGTAACCGAGGCCTTGGGGTTACTCTTCCACACAATAGGAAGAGAGCCCTTGGCTGTTTCTGAGGGCCCTTGGGTTCTCTGAATGATAAACTAAGAGAGGCTTCGCTTCATATCACCGGAAACACTGCCACCAAACAACAGGGTTAGCCTGTCCTTTGCTGCTCTGTAGCCTGGCATCACCTTTCCTCCTTGCTGAGGTAACTTTGGTCTGGCATCCTTTTCCAGCGCAGTCCTGTCTCGTCCACATTAAACACCTGCTCAGGTAAATACGCGCCTTCATCAATAATTTCTTGAAGCGTTTCAGGAAATTCCTGGGCAGCTACCGTATCTGCGCTCGCTGCCTCGCCGCTTACTTTTACGCTGTGACGGTTGGCTCCAGTCTTGAACCGATGAAGCCAGCCGTGGCTGGCATTAAAGGATGCGCCCTCTGATTCTTCGCCGTGTTTCTTCTTCAAGCCTTCATAAAGGCTCTTAGCTTTCTCTTGAGTCAGCATTAAGCTGAGCGGGACTCAACACTAATGCTGGTCCTGCATCCGCACACTGAGACGTTTCTCCATCTCCTCCACCAATTTTCCACGCCTCTTCGATATTATTGTCTGCACAGCAGACTTTACATATTCTATGATCTTGCCCTTGTTCTTTAGAATCGTGCCGATGGTTGAACGACTCATCTTACAAGAATGAGCAGCGTCTACCATCTTTTCTCCTCACTCCACTCTCTCAATTATTTTCACATTTGTTTCCATCGTTATCGCGTGGCCCTTCTTAGCGGCACCGGCTACATCACCACTGCTTTTACGCTTGCTTCTGGACACCCTGGGCTTGAAATAAAGATGCTGTACTCCTGTACTCTATACAGTCCTGCACAGTAAAGTGCGCAAGAGCACAACCACTTGTCGAAGATGCGCGCTCACGACAGTGTACGCCAGACACGTGAACTGACTTTTGTGATTGGACATGCGAAGGCACATTCACCTCTTTGAAAGTTCACAACTTGAAGGTTCACGTGTAGGGGATTTACTGTAATTCATGCAGATGCTTCGCCCTCAGGGAGGTGGACCGTGACTTCCCTGCCAAGACTGCAGTGTGGAAAGAGGGGGAAGAGTCCCTGTAGGGGAAAGACCCGACAGATCCTGCCTGGGCCACGTGACCCAGGTGATGAGGTGTGTTGACAGCAGGTGCCCTAGGTACAGTGGGATGCGAAGGCACCTCGCCTTCTGGTCTTCCTGCTAAAACACACAAACCCCAAAACTGAGACCATGAGAAAAACATCATACAAATCCGGAATGAGGGCCGTTCTACAGAATGCCTGACCAGTACTCCTGGTCAAGGTCTCAAGGTCAAGTACTCAAGGTCATCAAACACAAGGAATGTCTGAGAAGCCATCACTGCCTAGGGCAGGCTACGGAGCATGATGACTAAATGTGCTGTCCTGGATGGGGTCCTGGGACAGAAAAAGGATGTTAGGGGAAAACTAAGGCAACCCTATTAAAGTGTGAACTTTTTAGTAATGTGTCAGTGATGGTTCGTTGGTTGTGACAGATGTGCCGGAGGAACGTCAGATGTTATCTTTAGGGGAAATCCGGTATGGGGTGTATAAGGAACTGCTGTGTCTTCACAGCTTCTCTATATAAATCTAAAGCTATTCAAAATAAAATGTTTATTTAGATATTTTTAAAAATTAACAGACAAATTAAGATGTTACCCCAAAATATGTTTAACACAAAGCTTACAGTGTTTTAAAAATTCTAAAAGTTCGAATATTTCTTTCCATAGTATTTTAAGATTTTATTTCAGATACTTGTACTGTGATGCTAACGTCTATAACATGTGCACTCCTTTATGAAAATTCTTGATTTAATTAACAGACAAACTGTCTTGTAAGGGTTCCGTTCTGGGAGATGGAGTGTTACGTTTTATTATAGTTTCCCCCTTGATGTCCTTCATTTGCATTTTAGGAGAATGGATTTGACCAGCACTTTGTAAACTTTGTAAGTTAAATGTTAGTGACGCGTGGGCTTGCCTGCACTGGTCCTTTGAGCCTTGTGTCTGCACAGATCCCCTCTGAATAGGCTTCGAGGAAACGACTCATTGAGCAGCCTGGTAGTCGTCCTCCTTGGCCGTGCGGGAGCAGTGATGGCAGAGAAGGACCGGGACTTTGCGTGTGGCTGTCGTGTGAACGTCCCACATTCCAGTTCTTTCCTGTGCAAGACTCCTGTTTTCTGGGAGATAAACGTTTTGAGAGAAACGGAAGCATGCTGACTCAGATTCCATCCGTCCATCCGTCCACTCACCGACGGCCGCTTACCTGGTTCATCAGCCCGGCCTTGTCCTGTGGTAGCACTCATGACAGTGTAGTGACGGTTAATGCCTCTCCCGCACTGGTCTGTAGTACCTGCAAGGCAGCGGCATGTGTGTTGGGTCCCCAGGGACCCCCAGCCTCCAGCTCCGTGGAAGCTGTTGGGAGCAGATGGCCGTGGGCGCCTCGCCTGCATCCAGGTTCTCCTGTTTGAACAGCTCCGACCGAGGGTGTTCTCTGGCAGCTGGGCTTGTGGGCGCGGGGCAGGAATGTCAGAGGTCATGCCCCAGGGTAACCCCTCACCAAAGAGGGCGGGGTGCTCCTGACTAGGAGGCAGTTCTGAGGTCCGTGCGCGGCCTCTCCGGGGTCCCCAGCAGCTGCCAGTCTGCACAGAGCTGTGACCTGCTTCCCGGAGCTCCCTTTTTTGACTCTTTCCTTCCGTCTCACTTCCCCTGGTCTCGGGGTCAGCTTTGGGAGAACCCACACTGAGACCGTATGCAGTAAGTCGGTATCTATCGACGAAATTAATAAGCATAGTAAATGAGTAAGATCCTGACCATTCAAAGAAATTATCATCCAGGAAGAAAAAGGTTATCAGAGCTGTGCAGATCCCATGAATGAGACATAAAGCGACGACTGATGAGAAGTACAGATAGAACATGCGTATTCAGGGGAAGAAGTCGCTGCAGACTTCCCTCCTTACCCTCCTGACTCAGGGTCGGCTCCTGCCTGGTGACCTTGAGCCATCCAGCACCTCACCTGTCGCGTGGCTCACATCCCAGTGCCCTCGTTCTGCCATCCGGTGAGCTGGGAGGACAGAGGTGTGTCTGCTGTGTCCCCTCATGTCTCGACACTGGGACAGTGCCCCGCAGACAGTAGCTTCACAGGTGTCTGTTGGGCCCGTGCGTTCATGGGGAGACTAAGCGGCAGAGTTTCCATGAGGAGAGGGTTGGAGTCGTGGGCACGGATTCAAATCCCACTCCAGTCACTGCCTAACTTGCTGATTTCAGGCCGGTTGCTCAGTCAGCTCACATGTAAAGAAATCGAGGCACACCCTTCAAGGTCGTGACATCAATTAAATGAGGTCATTTCCTGTAGTACCTGGAGTTACAGCACAGAAATGAGCGCTCAGATGTTCACTGCTTTTATGGAGAAGATGGCATTTGAGGTTGGGTTGAAATTGGACGAGAAAAAAGTGGAGAAGGGAGTTTGAATTACAGCAGAAGGAACAAATGCCAGAAAGTGAGATTAAGGACGGTAGGGAGCTTATTAGCAGGGAGCTGTGTGCCTGGACCCGAGAACAGGAAGTAGGGAAATGAGGCCACGGAGAAGCCAGACCACGGAGGTTCGTGAATGCCAGCCTGAGTTGTCTGACTTTATTCCACGAGCAGAAGGGGAGATATCTGAGAATGGAACTGCCCATGAAGTGATGGGATTATGAACTATGAGTTACAGTACCCTGAAGAGAGGTCAGAAATGAAAATAGAGGTTTGGGAGCGGTTCACATAGTTTATCATGAAATTGGCAAACCAGTCAGCATATACCGCCTGTTTACCACAGTAGGAAATAGAATAACAGGGGTCCTTTCCACAGTCAAGGAACTTGGTTAGCGTCACACCGTTTAACACTTATCTTGCTAATTAGTATGTACAATATAGTAATTTTTTTCTTCTGGGATATTTCCCAGGTAATCTGAATCTTCCCCAAATGAACAGATGGGTATGGGCTTAGCGGCATTGTCAAAGAGGTCTCTTGGAGATGTATTCCTTGAGTGAACCAGAAGATAGGAGTGAGGTCCTCCTGGGCAGTGGGCAGTGGGCCATTGTCCGGCTACGGGCACAGCTTTGGAGTCACAGTACCTTGTCATTCGTTTTGCCAACTGTCAATTAACTTCTACAGAAATTTAAATAATAAAGGCTACTTTATGTGCATTTGTTCACATCGTGGCTGTTTTCAGGGCTCCTCGTCTCCTTGTGTAGATCCTTATTTCCATTTCATGTTTATATAAATGATGCCTTCAGATTTTTTAAATTTCCAGTTATTCCTTGCTAGTATATAGAAATACAGTGGCATGTTTTTTTGTTGTTGTTTTTTACTAACTGCATTCTCTGACCTTGCTAAACTCTTTTTTTTGATCTGGGAACTTTTTTGTAGATTCTTTGGTGTTTTCTGTGTAGAAAGTCACAGAGTCTGCCAATAAAGACAGTTTTGCTTTTTCCTTTTATATCCGTAGCCTTCATTTTTTTTCTTGCCTTCTTGTACTAGTGAGGACAGCAGTGTTGATCATCATGAGCGTCTCGCTCTTACAGGGAAAACACTTCTTATTTTCCATTGTCTGTTAGCAGTAGATTTTTCATGCATACTCTTTTTTTGTAATTTTTTTATGCGGTACGCGGGCCTCTCACTGTTGTGGCCCCTCCTGCCGCGGAGCACAGGCTCCGGACGCGCAGGCTCAGCGGCCTCCGCGGCATGTGGGATCCTCCCGGACCGGGGCACGAACCCACGTCCCCTGCATCGGCAGGCGGACTCCCAACCACTGCGCCACCAGGGAAGCCCTGCATACTCTTAATCTGATAGAGGAAGTTCTTTACTGTTACTGATGTTTGCCTTTTTTTTCTTTCCTTTTCAGCAGAAGACTCAGAAAGTGGTGTTTACATGCGATTCATGAGGTCACACAAGTGTTACGACATCGTTCCAACCAGCTCCAAGCTTGTGGTCTTTGATACCACGTTACAAGTGAGTGTGCCCAGTTTCCCTGAATCTGGGGTATATTATTTGGTGCCTGCTTTGTCGGGTAAGTTAAATCCAGCAGGACCCGCAGACAGTATCCAGTCCTTTCTGCACGTCAGGTCCTGTGCTGAGGTTTTGTCTGAGTTGTCAGTCGTCATGGCAGCCTTCTGGGGAATGTGCTGTTTTATGGATAAGGAAGCTCATTATCTAGAGTTTGCTCACATTCTAGCATTTAAGAACTCAGCCCACAGAGCTGGTGAGTGACGGGGCCTGGATTGGCGCTTGGGTCTGTGTGATGCGTGCCGGCCCCAAGCCCTTAACCGCTAGCTGCACCTCCTCCCTCGGCTCGTCCTGAAGGCCTGGGCTATTTAGTAGAACAGTGAAGTTGAAATAATACTGGTTCAAAAGAAAGCATCGCTCAGGTGGGTAATCTCCTAAGAGAAGACTCTGCTGATCTCTTTCAGCAGAAAATTTGAACCTGATTATTTTGGTATTAAAATTATGCTTATTGTAACTCGTTTTATACCAATATGACTTACAGTCGGACGTGAAAAGTCCCAAATACTACATTCAGTGCGATGACCAGATTACATCCGGTGTAATAAATACGTGTGCACACACAGGTATACGTGTGTGCATTTGGTGTATAGATGTACACATCAATCTTTACCAAGCAGGATTGTTTTCACCTGGGCTCCCCAAAAGTAGAGGCTGAGCCAGGAATTCATGGGCAGTGGGCGCTTTAACTGGGCGTCCTGCCAGGGGAGCCCCTGGGGGACTGGGGGAGAAGGGGAAGGGGCAAAGGCCAGGGAGGGCAGCCTCCGCTGATCCCTCAGGGGGACCCCAGCGGGTAAGGTGCCTGTGCGAGTTCACCCTGGCCTCTTTCAGCCTCGTCCAGGGCTGCCCTGGGAGATGTGTGCCCTGGCCCTGCCAGCTCGTCCCAGCGCTCGGGGCCCTCTCCCCAGGCCTCCCCCGCCTGCTCTGCTGGCGCCCCCAGCGGCCCGCCCTGTGGCTCTTCCTTGAGGACGCCTGGGCTCTAGGAGCTCCTTTGCCTGCATTCGGTCTCAGCTGCACAGGATTCTCAAGAATGTAGACATGGCTTAGTTCTTAATTTTATTTTCCAATTTTTTTTTTTTTTTATAAATTGGCCTAAAATCCTATGACTTTGCTAAATTCACTTCGGACCAGGTAACCTTCAAGGTCCCTTCTACAACTCTGATTCTTTGACACAAAGAGGACAGAGAGGCATCCAGGTGCAGTGTTACAGGAAATACTCTCTACCACGGTAACTACAGACTTCAATAGTAAAGTAACGAGAAATTCTGAATTCCCCAAATAAAGAAGTAGACCAGCCCGTCTCACCCTCGCTCCACCCTCCAAAGTCCTGACCGTCGCTTTCCACCAACAGAAAAGCACATGACAGCGCGTACGCCCTGCACCTGCTTTCACTCCTGTTCAGCTTTTCCCGTGTTGTAAAATTAACTCTTTTCTGAATTTAGAATTTAGCCAGAGTGAGTAAGACATGAAAAATGTGATGCTTTATGGATCATCGGAGGTCACTAATCCAGTGACTCTCACTTCCCTAATTAGTAGAAGCTGCATGTGCCTGTCTCCTGGAAGTCACGAATCCTTGAGGCTCTAAGCTTTAAAGGAGCTAAAATTGGTTACCATGGAAATGGGGGGGTTGGCACTGGTTACAGCAAAGTTAAAGATGTGTTTGAAAGGGCTGACTCGACTGTTGTCTAGACACAGACGGCAGTGGTGGTCGTGGACGTGTCTCGAGAACGAGGGAAGCGAGCAGGGGAGACACAGCCCGTCCCCGAGACCAGGTGACCGTCCTCTGGGTGGGGTCGTGGCCTAGACGGCTCCCTGTGTGCACGTGTGATGGGACAGCATGGAGCCACCGAGGAGGGCGGAAAAGACGTTTGTGGAGAATGTGTTTGTTTTTTTTTTAAGATTTAATTTTTTATTTATTTTTGGCTGTGTTGGGTCTTCGTTGCTGTGCGCGGGCTTTCTCTAGTTGCCGCGAGTGGGGGCTACTCTTCGTTGTGGTGCACGGGCTTCTCATTGCGGTGGCTTCTCTTGCTGCAGAGCACGGGCTCTAGGCGCGTGGACTTCAGTAGTTGCGACACGTGGGCTCAGTAGTTGTGGCTCGCGGGCTCTAGAGCGTGGGCTCAGTAGTTGTGGCGCACAGGCTTAGTTGCTCTGCGGCATGTGAGGTCTTCCTGGACCAGGGCTCGAACCCATGTCCCCTGCATTGGCAGGTGGATTCTTATCCACTGCGCCACCGGGGACATCCCCTAATGTATTTATTTTTAAGTTAAAAAAAAGCAGGTTGCAGAGCAACACTTACATTCTGACCAAGTTACCCTGAGGGCCCAGAGTATCAGAGACACAGCTGGTCTGGGAACCAGAGTCAGCTGTTCACAGGTGGACTGAAAACGGGGTCGCAGACAGTGGAGAAGAGAGGGAGAGAAGGGCCGCTCGCCCCAGGCGGCCGCGCCCTCAGCCTCTAGCTCGGCCTCTGTGAGGCCCGTGGGCTCCCGCAGGCGGGGCTGTGACGCGCCCCAGGGTCCTGTCGCTCAGTCTCGCGTCAGTGTGAGAGACGGCGCCTTGGTCCTGGTGCCCCGGAGCCCAGTGCACGTCCTAGAGTCGCGTCCCTCCCCCTTGGCCCGCCTGGTTCTCCCTCGGCGTCGGCGGTCGTCCGGAGCCCCGACTGCGGTGTGACTGAGGGAGGGGGTGATGCCCGACTCCCACCGGCTCCCTCACCCAGTGTCGCGGGGTGCCCGGTGCTCAGGCTGGACGGGGCGGAAGCCGCCCGCTCGGCTTGCTCGGTCACTCGGCATCTCAGCCGAGTTGTTCCTTCCCGACCAGGGCCCCGTAGTAAGCCAGGAACTGTTTCTCAAGAGGAAAAGAATTACCTGCAGACGAAGGCATGGCTTTTTGCTCTTTGTTTGTTTGTTCCAAAAACCCAGTGAATCTCCTGCTGGTGCCTGATGGGGGCCTCATTCGGCGTCCCCAGCTCGGCCTTGCGGGGGGCCCCAGGCCCCAGGTGGACGAGGGGCCTGCCCTGCCGCAGAGCTGTGTCTTGCTCTGGGCCCCTGTGAAGACTCACTCTGACCGTGTCAGAGCAGCGCTCAGACACAGTGTGTGCCGCTTGCGGAGACCTGCCAAGGGTGGCAGGGGTGCGGGCAGCAGCCTGAGTGGCATGGGGGTCTCTCCGACGCTCCAGGCCGTGGCCTCCCTCACTGGCTGGCTGGCCGATGTCACACCGAGGCGTCTGAAGCATTGCCACTTCCTGCCCATCAGACCCGTCAGCACTGTGTCATCGATGTCACGGGACCGTGTGATGTGAGGCCTGTGGGGTGGTCAGCATCTCTGCAGACTGCGTGCAGTCACAGAGCCAGAGGTGAGGGTGTGCGAGCATGCCATGCAATGTCAAGGCAGACTGCTTCTCGGGGTCCTTGTACGTTGGTAGAGGGAAAAAGCGTGCGCGGCTGACGGCTGCAGGGCCCTGCGATGCTGCGTCTGGAGTTACAGGAATCCAGTCACTCTGGGAGATGCGGTCCCAGCCAGACGGGCAGCTTCCCTGGGGTGTGACGGCCAGCCTCTCCATCTGCGCACTTCCCCAGGGATGCTCTGCTGTGCTTGGCTTGCCAATCTGGTAGCTTCAGGGGCGTCCTCCCTGGGCCTCCTCGGCACGATATCCCTCACCGCGTGGGTCCGAGAGCCAGTGTAGGGATCCAATGACATGCTCAGGACTGAGCGGGTAACCACGGTGTGGCCTGCAGCCCCGTGAGCTCCTTGTGCTTGACCTTGGCTGCGACTCCGTCTGTCACCTGACTGACCGTAAGCCCCGCCTTTGACCAGTGACCATGGTGGCATTTGGGGTTCTAGGAATCAGCGTCCACTCAGAGCCAGCATCCGGTCACCCTGGAAAGTCTGCGTCTCCTTTTCCCCAGTGCTCAGTCATCCTAGGAAGTGGGACAGGAGGAACGGCACGTCCTGGGCGGGGCACTGTCCTCGGGGGACCCCGCGCCCCTCAGAACGGGGCTCTGGGTCTGAGAGCGGCTCAGGTCTGGAAACGGTGAGAGGACAAGACTCCGTGTTGGTGACTCAGGTTGGGGTTTTGGCCCCTGGACTGAGAATTTCTCTTGTTACGTAGATCAGGCAACACTTTAGAGGACCATGCATCTGTCTCACTTCTAGGGATGCTGTAACTGGGTAGCCACGACCAAACCGTCTGCGAATCAGAACATTCTCACCCCTGGCCACGAGCCTGCCCTGCTCCCTCAGGACCTGCCACCACACTGGCATCAGTGAGGCCGTCATGGTGCTGCCCCCTGCAGAGCGCAGCCAGCACGCAGCTTCTCAGGGGGTAGGGGTCCCCGCACGCAGACATTTCTCAGAAACCTGGGGAGGCTGTGACCTCGGGGCCCTTTGGGGGAAGGTAGCTGAGGGCTGGCTGTGCAGGCCGCATGTGCTGAAATCTCCCTGAGCCTGTGGGTTCACTCTTCCTCATTAGGCCTCCGAAGTTCTGGCATCTCGGCCTTCTCAAACATGCACTCAGCAATGCCCTGCATTTCAAGGCAGTCAACTCAGAAAGCTTCAGAGCCGTTCCCAGTGGCATGCACTAAACATTAAATCCACATTTCTGGTAAATCCACCTGTGTCAATAAACCCTACCATATCCAGTGTTCAGTTCCCTCTCCTTGGTCTAATATTATTAGAAGCTATTCCCACACTTACTTCCCAGGTTTCTGCAGATATGAAATAGCGGAGCTTTATCGTTGTTTCCATGTGTGAGGCCCCCTCTCGGGGTCAGGCTGGAGTCTGTCCCCAGTCACAGGTCTCGGGGCCGCAGAGGCAGCTGTGGTTGTCTGGGGAATGGAGAACAAGCGACCCCGTGCAAGGCGTCTGCCCAGGAACACTCGCTGCTGGGCTTCCAGGCAAAGAAAGGCCATTCTGACACCACGCAGCCGGCCGTTTCCACTGCCAAGGGAGGC